AAAGAACCTACATATAAATCTAAAATATCTGTGTAGGATCTGTATGCTCAAAACTATAAACACTGACTTTTAAAAATCAAAGATCTAAATAATGGGGGGACCCTGTGTTCATGGATTTGAACTCAATCCCAAACGCACGGTAAATCTAAAAGTTAAAGGTAAGGTAATAAAGCAACAAAAAAAAAGATCTTTATGAGCTTAGGATAAGAAAAAAATAGGACACAAAAGTCATTAGCAATAAAAGAAAAAAATGTGCAATACAGACTCAGTAAAAGTTAGAAATACCTGTTCATCAAAAGTAAGCATTAAGAGAGTAAAAAAGCAAGCCAATATTGGAAGTAAAACAAGCACCCCAGGTAAAAATTTGAATATAGGCTTCATATAAAGTTTGTTTTAAACTTTAATGTGCATGAATCACTTAATCTTGTTAAAATGAAGAGTCTTATATTAACAGCATTGAGATGAACTCTGATATTCTGCATTTCTAACAAGCTTCCAGAACAATACATATTTTGTAAACACACATTTTTTTGAAAACAGGATACAAATAAAACACAAAATAACTTTTTAGGGATGGGGAAGGAGATGGACATTGATGAGGAGGAAATAAGAGAATATATAAATAAAGGCAGAAAGGACCTTACATGAACCAATGATAAAAGGGCCACAGGCCAGGCACAGTAGCTCACGACTGTAATCCCAGCACCTTGGGAGACTGAGGCAGGGGGACCGCTTGAGCTCAGGAGTTGATGACCAGCCTGAGCAATATAGGGAGACCTTCTCTCCACTAAAAATACAAAACCTCAGCCAGGCATGGTGGCACTTGCCTGCTGTCCCAGCTACTCAAGAGGCTGAGGCTGGAGGATCACCTGAGCCTGGAGTTTGAGGCTGCAGCGAGTTATGATTGCACCACTGCGCTCCAGTCTGGGCGACAGAGCAGGACCCTGCCACAAAAAAAAAAGTTGGGGGGGGGTCTTGACCTGAACTGAGGAGTGATTAACTTAACCCTTTGACCTAAGGTCTCCATCCCTCTCCACACCAAAAAAAGAAAAAAGTAATAAAGAAAACACTAGGAATAAACAAATGAGAAGCTCACCCAGGATGTGGTGATTTTTGGCTGCTCTTGGGAAATAAACAGCCACTCTAGGACTTTCTCCGCTCTGCGACTCTTCCGCTTCTGCCTGGGTGCTCCAGGGAGGTGCTGCAGGCCAAGAGTCCCTTGGCCCAAGACGGATTCCTGACCTTGGAGCTTTCTGATCCTATCCCATGAACTGTTTCGTTCTTGGAGAGGTGGGACCTGTGGACTCAAGAGCAAATTTACTTTAGGGAGCATAATTTACTTGTGGAAAAAGGAAATAGGGGTCACATCACATAAATGTGAGAGAAACACATTAGAAAACACGGCAGGTTTAACTTCAGGAAATGCAGGGTTAGAGGTAGAAAAGAAATGGCTTCCTGACAAGGCTTAGCACCAAGAGTTCAGGCCGTGTTTTGAGCCCTTCATGACAAAAACAGAGGCAGGGCCCTCAAACAGCAAAGCTACAGAAAGATCCTGGCTCATCCTAGCTCCAAACCAAATGGCGTCTTAATAGGCTGGTTTGGGAGGGCAGCGGGAATATAACATTATTATGAGGGAAAAAGGAACCAAATGAGGCTCTGACAGACAATAAAAACATAACCAAAATATCTGACCACATAAAAACTGTTACACAACATTTCAAAATGAAGTAAAAGAAATCAGAAAAACGAAACTTTGAGAGGACAGATTTACAAAAAATAAAAGAGCCTAGAAGGTAGATGCTTAGACATCTGGAAAATGTGAAATGAGAAATATCAGAATAAATTAGGAAATAAATTTCAGAAATGAAGATTAAATTAGGATGAACACAAAAAAGTAGCAATGACCTAGAAGGCAGCACAGGTGAAAAGTAGGGAAAGCCTAAAAAAAGGGAATAAAAAATTAGAAAAAGAAACAATGAAATGACATGAAAAGGCTGTTCACCGAGGCATTTTTATAACCCAAATATCTATAACTACATAACTGGTTGAAAATGCTATGGCCATCTACACAGCAGTAAACGGTGACAGACAGGGAAGAGAGAACAGCCTCTATGCACCAGTATTGGTGTAATACAACGATCAATACGTACTCTGAGTGATGACGACAAGGGGAAGAATACTACAAACAGAAAGCTGGCTTTCGCGTTAAAAAAAGAAGGGGCATTGCTAGTATATATATATGCATGTGTTTGCCATAGAAGTGGGATAACATAGTATCTAGTCTTTTGTGTCTGGTTTCTTTCACTTCACATAATGAGGTTTATACTTGTCATAGCACATATCGATAGTTTGTTCCTTTTGTTGCTGAATAGTATTCCATCACATTTCATCATTCACCATTAATGGACATTAACATTATTCCCTGGAGGCTGGGCGTGGTGGCTCATGCCTGTAATCCCAGAACTTTGGGAGGCTGAGGCGGGTGAGTTGCCTGAACTCAGGAGTTCGAGACCAGCCTGGGCAACACAGTAAAACCCCACCTCTACTAAAATACAAAAAAAAAAAAAAAAATTAGCCAGGCGTGGCAGCATACACCTGTAATCCCAGCTACTTGGGAGGCTAAGGCAGGAGAATTGCTTGAACCTGGGAAGCAGAGGTTGCAGTGAGTGCCACCGCACTCCAGCCTAGGCAACAGAGCGAGACTCCGTCTCCAAAAAAAAAAAAAGATTATTCCCTGGAAACCAACAGCTTATCTCTCAGAGCCTTCTCTGGGTACACTGGGCACTATCCACCCACTCTACATTTTGCTCTACATTTCAAGATCGAGGATTCTAGAATCTCTGCCTCTTAAGAAATCCTCAACCTGTATCCAGAGACTAAATAGAGTGCACAGGCCAGGAAAATGCACATAGAGCCAGACTATCTGGTTTTAAGTCCTGGCTCTACATTGACCAGGGGTGCCACCCGGTCTCCAACTAGCCCTTTCTGGGCCTCAGTATCCTTACCCATCAAAAGGAGAATAACAGTATTCACCACCACCTGGGGCTAGGACTGCTGTGAGGTTTTATTTTTTATTTATTTTTTTGGAGATGGAGTCTTGCTCTGTTGCCCAGGCTGGAGCATAGTGCCACGATCTCAGCTCACTGCAAGCTCCGCCTCCCAGGTTCACGCCATTCTCCTGCCTCAGCCTCCCAAGTAGCTGGGACTACAGGCGCCCGCCACCACGCCCAGCTGATTTTTTTGTATTTTTAGTAGAGATGGGGTTTCACCGTGTTAGCCAGGATGGTCTTGATCTCCTGACCTGGTGATCCACCCGCCTCAGCCTCCCAAAGTGCTAGGATTACAGGAGTGAGCCACCGCGCCTGGCCACTGTGAGGTTTTAACGTGGTAATACCTAATAAAAGATTTAGCACAGAACCTCATACGTAGTAGACACTGAGCATTCACATTTGGTTGAAATGGCAAAAGAAAACTAAACAAAAAACCAGGAATACTTAATGAAAATAAACCACACTACAAAATGACAATCACCAAGATGAAAAGCATATGCTGGTTCTTAGAAAAGAGGACTCCACCTTCAAACATCCCCCAACTCTAACGAGTGTCTCCATTTCTACCACACAAAATCCCTGCTACCTCTTGTCTGAACCACTGTAGTCACCTAATCAGTCCCGTTTCTCCCCTTCTGTGTCTACTCTTGTCCACCTACAACCTGTTCTCTACTCAGCACTCAGAAGGGTCTTTGGAAATCCTAAGCAGATCATGTTGCTCCCTTTCTTAGTACCACACCCTCTCCTGGACCCCATGGTTTCCTAGCCTGATCTGGCCTCTGGCCACCTGTGTTCATCTGCTCTCCTCTCTCTCACTCCCTACCCCCAGCCACAAAGACCTTCCTTCCAGGTTACAAAGGCATCAAACTTCTCCTGCCTTACAGCCTTGGCCCTGGGCTGTTCCCATCCTGGATGATCTTCTACCTGCTCTTAACAAGGCTGGCTTGCTATTGTAACTCAGACTTAGATGTCACTTCCTTAGTGGGGGCCTTCCCTGACAACCCAAGCTAAAGTAGCCACCAGTCATTTCTTTTTTTGTTGTTTTTGAGACGTAGTCTCGCTCTGACACCAGGTTGGAGTGCAGTGGCGCAATCTCGGCTCACTGCAACCTCCGATTCCCGAGGTTCAAGCGATTTTTCTGCCTCAGCCTCCCGTGCAGCTGGGATTACAGGTGCCCAACACCACACCCAGCTAATTTTCATATTTTTAGTAGAGACGGGGTTTCACCATGTTGGTCAGGCTGGTCTCGAACTCCTGACCTCAGGTGATCTGCTCACCTCGGCCTCCTAAAGTGCTGGGATTACAGGCGTGACCCACCACACACAGCCCATCACCACTAAATTCAATTTAGGTTTTTGACTGCTATGGTTTGAATGATTGCATCCCACCAAAATTCATGTTGAAACTTAAGTCCCATTGTGATGGTATTAAGAGGTGGGGCCAATTAGCTGGGTGTAGTGGCATGTGCCTGTAATCCCAGCTCCTCAGGAGGCTGAAGCAAGAGAATCACTTGAACTCCGGAAGCAGAGGTTGTGGTGAGCAGAGATTGCCATTGCACACCAGCCTGGGCGACAGTGACTCAGCAAAAAAAAAAAAAAAAGGGGGGGGGGTGGGGACTTTTAATAGTGATTAAATCATGAGGGCTCTCCTTCAGGAATGGGATTAATACCCCCTTAAAAGAGGTTTCAGAGAGTCGTCTGGCCCTTCCATCTCTTTGGCCATGTGAGGACACAGCAGTCTTCTCTTTTTGCCCCCTGCCATCATGTAAGGATGTAGCAAGAAAGTGCCATCTTGAAAGAAGAGAGCAGAGCCAGGTGTGGTGGCTCATGCTTGTAATCCCAGCACTTTGGGAGGCCAAGACGGGTGGATCACAAGGTCAGGAGATCAAGGCCATTGTGGCCAACATGGTGAAACGCCGTCTCTACTAAAAATACAAAAAAAAAAAAAATTAGCTGGGTGGTGGCGCACATCTGTAGTCCTAGCCATTTGGGAGGCTGAGGCAAGAGAATCACTTGAACCCGGGAGGCGGAGGCTGCAGTGAGCCGAGATTGCACCACTGCACTCCAGCCTGGGGACAGAGAGAGACTCTGTCTCAAAAAAAGAAAAAAGAAAACAGATGGCAGACCTCATCAGATACCATATTTACCAGCACCTTGATCTTCAACTTCTCAGCCTTCAGAATCGTGAGAAAGTAGTATCTGTTATAAGTTGCCAAGTCTGTGATATTTTGTTACAGCAGCACAAACAGACTAAGACAATGATCTAATATTACTTGATCTCCCTCATACATGTCACTTGACAAGCATTTTTGAGGTTTCCTTATCTTTAAGTGTGAATTACATGTATCTATTTTGTCTCACTTTTCTTGGATTCCATCTCAGTCTCCAACACCTCTTCCCCTGCTTTCTCTTGTCATTTCCCTGACCACTGTCCTCAGTTATCTTCTTATGGTACACATTCTCCCTGAGCTACTTTGGCCACACCTAATTGGTGCAACCTCATCCAGACCTTTCTCTTGAAACACATGCCTGCCCACCTGCCCACTAGCAACCTCTACCTAGAAGAGCCAATCCATATAAAACTGAAATCTCCCCCCTCTATCAATCACAATTCTGATAGTCTTCCCTTACTCAGCAAATGGTGACATTCCCAACCAGGCCCACAGAGTACAACTCTAGTTGTCATCCCTGGCTTTTCTGCCTCTGTTACCACTGCACCCAACTAGTTATGAAATCTAATTTCTTCTGCCTCTTTACCACCTTTTTTTTTTTTTTTGAGACAGTGTCTTGTTCTGTCGCCCAGACTGGAGTGCAGTGGCACAATCTCGGCCGATTGCAACCTCTGCCTCCTGGGTTCAAGTGATTCTCCTGTCTCAGCCTCCCGAGTAACTGGGATTACAGGTGTGAGTCACTGCACCCAGCTACCTCCTCTCTTTTCTCAAAACCACTAATTTACTTAAACCCTTATATTCTCTTACCTGCTGCAGACTAGACTGTTCTACCCTCAAACTCTTTGTGAAAACACTTAAATAAGTAAACTCCTTCCCCTATAACATCAGTCCCCAACCACGGACCGGTTTTGTAGAGGACAATTTTGCCATGGACAGGGAGTAAGGGGTGGCAATGGCTTCTGGATGAAACTGTTACACTTCAGATCATCAGGCATTAGTTAAGAGTCCCATAAGGAGTGCGCAACCTAGATCTTTCGCATGTGCAGTTCACAACAGAGTTTGTGCTATGAGAAGTTA